GGTGGGTGGCGTGGGGCGTGCACGCTGGTTGAGCCCAAAAGTGCCGCGTGGGTCTCTCATGCACTCGCTGCCATGAGCTTGAGGGGATCTTGGGTGTAGGGTGCATCTAGTTGGCCAGCTTGGCCAGAAGGAGCTTTGTGACAACGGGGGCTCGGTTTTGCAAGGCTGTGCGCTAATTGAATGTTCGCCCATTGTACAGTCAACCATACGGGACGCCAAATCCACCGAACCTGGAGTTCTGGGCCAGTCGTCTCAGGGTGGTCCTGGGAGACCCTCTTTGAGTAGATTTGTTCCCTTCCTTCCCAGCGGCCGCAGTGGGCTCTCCAGCATCGAGCCAGGTTGCAATCGAGTCGAAGGGAACTCCCTTCCCTTTGATCTCTTCCCAGCCGTGTGTGTGTGTGTGTGTAAATGTGAGTGTGTGTGTGTGTGTGTGTTTGTGTGTGTGTGTGTGTGTATGTTTTGTGTGAGTGTGTGTGTGTGTGTGTGTTTCTTTGTTTGTCTTTGCTCGACTTTCAATACGCCGCGCCACCGCGCGTGTGGCCACGACGCCAGAAATTGTGTGTGTGTGCCATCTGTCGAGTTGAGTCGCCTCATCGGTTTCTGGCCGCTGCACGTTTCGCTTGGATTTGCAGCTCCTCCTTCACACCACCCATCGCTGCATTGCTGCATTGACGGTGTGCACGCTTTGTGCACTGTACTCTCGACAATGTTCGATCGCAATTCGCACTTCCATCTGCTGCTCGCGTCTGAGGATCCTCTACGCCCAGCCCGCGCGCGCCTCCCTCCGACTTTCTTTCGGCTGCAAGCCGTTCACTCGTTGAGTGCATGCTGGTCGATCGCTCGCTCGTCGTGTCGCTACCGCGCCCTCCGTGCGGGACCCCCCCCTGGTCAGTGGTCGTTTCGCCCTCCCTCTCTCCCCGCCGTCCGCGCTCGGATGGCAGATGCTGACGCCCCCTCTCAGCCCGGCGCGCGCGGGGCCCCGGCCGTTGCACTTGGCTTCCTCCGCCTCGTCGCTGCGCGCGAGGCCGCGACCGCCAAAAAGTGTGTGTGTGTGTGTGTCGACGGTTCTCCCCCTCCGCTGTGCCGTCACTGCTGCACGGTCCGCCCCAGCAGTTCGCCTGGGCGCCTTGCCTCTGGCGGTGCTTGGTCGTTACGCCGCCCTGCACTGTCCCCCCTTTCTTGCCCCTCGTCCTGGCTGCTCGCCTCACTGCGTACCCAGTTGTTGCCCCCGGGCACGCTTCCACTGCACCATCTGCACCCTCGCTGCCCATGCCCATGTATGCGCATGGCATGGTCGATCCGATGGGATCCCTGCCCCTCTTCTGCGGGGCCAACCGCGCCCGCGCTCCTGCGCCTGGGGACTTTCTCCTCCTCGACGCTGCCCGCGGGGCCGTGACCGCCAAAAAGTGGGTCCCGCGTGGGTGGGTGTCGAGGGGGGGTGCCAGTTTGGCCCTCTTTCGGCAACTCAGGTCGAATACGCCAGAGATGGCCCCAAGTCGGCCCCAAGAGGACCCCCTGGAGGGACCCAAGAGGAAAAGCAGTCTCACTTGCTTATACATTTTAAATAAATTCCGTTGCGCCTTTTCGATCTTCCAGCGCTCCAAGACGGCCTAAAAGGCTCGTAGGATCGCCCCGAGGGACCCCCAAGAGGGCTCCAAGACGGCCTACGAGGGTCCCCAGAGGGGGCGCGCGAACTGAGATTTCAAGCTCTCCGCCCCAATATGGCCCCCGCCCCGCGACCGCCAGCGGGCCCCCAAGAGGCCTCCAAGAGGCCCTCTAGAGGTCCGGGAAGCCCTCCAGAGGCTGCCAAGAGCCGCCAGGAGGCTCTGGAGAGCCCTCCCAGGAGACCCCCAAGAGGCCAGAGGCGCCCCAAGAAACCCCTGTGTGCAGTCGGGAGGCCTCCTGTCCACGACCCAGGCGCGGTGGCAGGATGGGGACCAGTTTTCGGGTAGCCCTTTGGGCATTTGCAGAAGGTTCCCAATGGGGTCTCGGCCCAACGCGCCAGCCACCCAGAACATATACCTCGCGTCTGATCACCTCCCAAGATGGCTCCAAGACGGCCTCCAAGACGACCCCAGAACGATCCCAAAATGGTCCGAAGAGGCCTCCGAGTTCGCCCAACATGTTCTCAAGACGGCCCCAAATGGCCTCAAGACGATCCAGGATGGCCTCAAGACTTCCCAAAAGGCCCCCAATATGGCCCGAGAGAGCTCCAAGAGGCCTTCCACGAGGGGCCCGAAGAGGCCAACATCACCGATTCTCCTTGGCAGTTTTAATGATTTTCGCGTTCTCGCCTTTCCAGGCTTCCAACAGCTCGAGGCGGCCCCAGATGCCTCCAAGATAGCCCAAAGAGCAAGACAGTCAAATTGGCCCTTCAGCGGCACAAGAAGGTCCAAAGATGCCCCCAAGAAGGCCTCCGAATGCGTCGGACGAGTCAAGAAAACCCCACGACTTCCTAGAAGGTATCCAGAATGCCCCCAAGGCTCCCAAGAGGCCCTCAGAAGCCTCATGCTGTTTCTGCTCCTCGTCCTCCTTCTCATCCCTATTCTCCTCCTCCTCCTCTTCTTCCTCTTCCGCCCCTCTCTTCCTCCCCCAGGTGTTCCCCAAAGGCTTCTAGAACGGCTGGTGGAACACGTAATCCAACAGCTTAGCCAGACTGTGGCCCAACGTCTGGCCACGTAGTCGCTTCCCGAAGGGAACGGGGCAGCGGTTGTTCGCCGTATGCGTCTTCGATAGAGGTAGCACGGCGTTCTGTCTTGTCTATACGCGAGGTGATCTTCCAGCCGTTCTGGGATCATCGTCGGCTTGCCTTCGTGCGCTCCTCGGCTGCCTCGCGGCCTTCCTGGGGCCTCGTGATCCCCCTTCAAGGTCGGCGGAACTAGCCGTAAGTCCTCTCGAGCCATGGGCGAAGCCCCCATTCGGCCCCAAAAGCGCCTGGATGCACTAGAAGCGCTTGGAACAACCGTGGAAGGACCCACTAATAGGACGGCGAGCCCCTTCTGAACCCGAACTGTTCCTTGTTCCAGCGTCTTGGCGATAATCCCCAGACAGTGCTTGCACTTACGGGTTCTTACTTCTATTCTGAAGAGCTGGGCCTGGCGGGCGGTCAGGCGGTTCCGTGCTCGCCGTCCGCCCCGTCGCCGCCTCGTCGCTGCCCGTCGTCTCGGCCTGGCTGGCGGCCTGGCGGCTCCGTGCTCGCCGTCGCCGCGCCGTCGCCGCCTCGTCGCCGCCGGTCGTCTGGACCACACACATTTTCTCTGCCATAATGGAATTCGGATCGATCCCCCCAAGATTATCCGTTCCCCTGGGGATAAAGCAGTTTACACATGATTCCGCCCCCAGAAGGCCATATTTCACCCAATCATCCTCGTCAAAAAAACACTATGCGCGCGTACCCGATTAGCACACATCAACAATTTGCAGTCATCTTTTGCGAACGATGTGACGCAATTCACACGCGAGCGTCGTCGCGCCCGTGTGCCGAACTCCTTCAACAATCACATCGGTTTCGTATGGGTTTCAAGATCGAATGCCCCGACACCGTATAAGCATTGATTGTAACTTCGTTTTCCTCGTAAAAAAATGCGCGCGCGCGTGCTTTTGCGAACTCTTGAAAACAAAACCATGGCTTCCAACATGTGCATCACATGCGACCAAGCGGGCCTCCAGCGCGCGCGTGTCGAAATTATTCGAACGCCCTTGCGCGCTTGGTGTTGGTGGGGGGGGGCACGGTCCCTGTCAAATAACGTGCGGGCCACTCGCACCCGCCAGCCGCGCGCACACGTCGAAATCCTTCCACTTCATCGCATAAGCGTGGACACCATCATCGCCATCGGCGTGATCGCCATCGGCGTGATCAGTATCGGCGGCGTCGGCGTCATTTGCTTTGCCGTCGTCGTCGTCGTCGTCGTCATCGTCGTCACCAGCATCGCTACTATCATCATCGTGTCTGCCGTTGTCGATGTCGCCATTATACCGCGCCCGTCTGAGTCACTGACTCGCAGTGGAAAGCCCGCGCGGCACCGCGGCCTGCGGGCCTGCGGGACGCCGCCGCTTCCGCTACCGCTGCGAAGCGTGCCCACTGGTCAGCGCCACCGCTGCCGCGTCGGTCGCGCCTGACTAGCTGGCCGCTCCGCGCGCGAGCCTGCACGCGATACCGCAACCGCAACATTGCGCCAAGCAGCGCCAAACAATCACTGCAATCGCCACCGCATGGGTTCTGCAAACCAAGTTGCGGGTGGGTGGGTGGGTGGGGTGGTTGCGCAAGCAATGGGGTTGACAACTTCAATTTCGGCAGGATGAACTGCACCGCGTAAACTGCGCACCAGACATTTTCAGAAAAAAGGCCCCCCCTCCCCCCACCCTGGGATAAACGGCCCCCCTTTTCGTATTGCAATTTACTCGTGATTTTGCCCCATCGTCCATACTAAGTAACAACTCGTATCATCCCAGATCAGCCGGTATCGACCCCCCCCGTCAGTCTCTGGAGAAAATATAATGCGGGCGCACTCGTTCACCGAAAATCGTCAGTTTTCAAAAACCCATTGCAAGACATGGGTCGAAGTGCACACGCGCGCGTCGTCGCGCGCGCATGCCAGAATCCTTAAGCAACCTTCGGTTTCGCAAGGCTTTCAACATTGAATGTCCAAAAAACATATCTAAAACACATGGTTTTCCAACACTGATTTTCAAAAAAAGATTGCGCGCGCTCTTGCGCATTCTTGACTGAATCTCGCATGTTCATGCCATGCTACCAGACGAGCGCCCGCGTGTCGAAATCGTTCGAACGCTCTTGCGCGCGTGCTGTCGCGAGAATCCTTTGCAACATGTGAGACGAAATGCACGCGCGCGCGTTGTCACGCGCGCGTGCCGAAATCCTTCAAAAACTTTAGGTGTCGCAGGGATTTCGAAACCGAATGTCCCGAAACCATATAAAAAACATATGGTCTGGCAACCGCAGTTTTCAGAAAGCTTGCGCCCGCGCTCTGGCGAATCCTGAA